GCTGCCCCCAGGCGATCAAAGCCTCGGAGCAGGGGACGCAGCAACACTCAGACGCGGAAGGAGGGAGAGCGCCTCCCGACCGCCTAACAACCTCCTCCTGCAGGTCCCCCGACCACGGCCACAGAAGCGGGCGCCCCCGTGAACATGCGTGACCCGCACGGTGCGCCGAGTGTCACCCTTCCTCACGGCCTGTGTGCTGCCCTTGGTGAGCGCGTAGCTGCACACGTGTGTACACACAGACAGCCGACCCCCCAGCACCACGGGTTTCCATGGCAGGGCCCACGTCTACGTGGATTTTTTTCAATAAATACAGCAAATTTATTTTCCCTTCCTTAGGATTTTCTTAATAGCATTTCGTCTTCTCTAGCTATTTCTCTTTTTCTTTTTTTTAAAAAAATACATCTTCACTGATTTCAGAGAGAGGAAGGGAGAGAGAGAGAGAAACATCGGCGATGAGAGTCGGCTGCCTCCCAGCAGGGATCGAGCCACAGCCCGGCCTGTGCCCCGGCCGGGAATCGAACCGCGATCTCCTGGGTCCTAGGCTGACGCTCAACCGCTGAGCCACGCCGGCCGGGCTTCTCTAGCTAATTTTATTGTGAGAATAGCATGTGTAACACGCGTAACATACAAAATATCTTTTAATCAATTGTTTATGTTACCGGTGAGGCTTCTGGTCATTGGTGGGCTATTGGTCATTAAGGTTTTTGGGAGTTCAAAGTGGGGTTGTTATTCAAGGGTCAACTGTATTTATAGCTAATCTATATCCATATCTATATCACCCATATCTATACCTATATCATCTATATCTATAATCTATATCACTTACATCTATATCTATATCTGATCTATACCTATATTTATCTAGATCTCTATCTATCATGACATTGCCAATTTGAGGATAAAAGGAAGTAAAGAAATTCTCTTTTTGGTAATGAAGTACAAATTTAATCTAAACATATTATGTTTTATATATTTAGGAGAAAAAATAACACTAGAACAATGGAGAAAAGTTTGGTGGCAGTATTTCATTAAGAAAATGGCCTTTAAAAATGGGCTTCAATTATTCAGAAAGTTAATATACCCAACTCTTCCAAGTTTGAACAAATTAAACTTTGACAGGTTACCTGGTGACGTCTTAAGTGTCAAAGTCTCAGGGTCTATCAAGAAAGACTTGCCTTCACTCTGGCTGGTGGGGCTCAGTGGTTAGAGCATCAGCCCTCGGACTGAAGGGTCCCGGGTTCGATTCCCGGTCAAGGGCAGGTGCCTGGGTTGCAGGTTTGATCCCCGGCCCAGTCGCTGTCTCTCTCACACCGTTTTTCTCTCTCTCCCCTCCCTCCCTTCCACTCTCTCTGAAAATCAATGGAAAAAATATTCTTGGGTGTTTTTAGAAAAAATAAAAATAAAAAAAATCACTTCCTATCCTGGCAGTAAGCGAGGACGCCCTCACTCCAGGGCACTCGCGTCTAACCCAGCTCACACCATCATCTTTAAAATGAACTGAGCGATTCCGTCGCGTCCCCATGAAATAAAGCAGAATACTGAGCGCTCGACGTTCCCTGTGGCCTGGCGATGAGGCACGAGGTCCTCCGTAACCTCACTCCTGTCAGAGTTAGCAAAGCGCAGATGCTCCAAGACTTAAAAAGAAATAAAGCGTCGAGGCAATAAGATACCTTTTCCAGAAATGATGGTTTTAGGTTTCCAATATTTAAAGAGAAGACCTCTCTGAGGCATTTTGAAACTCGAAGGGGTCTCAGTGGCAGCTGCAGAGACCGAGCACGAGACGCGGTTCTTGCTGGACACGGGCTTTGTTTACAGATGGAAACATCCCTCTGTGCAGCTGCAGCTGCCCCTGAGCGACACGGTCTGAGCCCGGCCACTCAGACATCTGGACGGTCGGCCCCATATCCCCGGGTTTCAAATCTGCGCATACAACCAACCACGGGTGGGAAACAGTATTTTTTAAAAAAATCCTCACCCAAGGATACGCTTTTATTGATTTTAGAGAGAGAGGAAGGGAGAGGGGGAGAGAGAAACCTCGGCTCCNGGTTTCAAATCTGCGCATACAACCAACCACGGGTGGGAAACAGTATTTTTAAAAAAAATCCTCACCCAAGGATACGCTTTTATTGATTTTAGAGAGAGAGGAAGGGAGAGGGGGAGAGAGAGAAACCTCGGCTCGCTGCTCCGACGCATCACTGGTTGATTCTTGAATGTGCCCTGACCCGGGATCGAACCCCCAGCCCTGGCGTATCGGGACGATGCTCTAAGCAACTGGGCTACCCGGCCAGGTTCGAAAGAGAATTTTTGATTCGAGTGCGGGAATCATNCATCACTGGTTGATTCTTGAATGTGCCCTGACCCGGGATCGAACCCCCAGCCCTGGTGTATCGGGACGATGCTCTAAGCAACTGGGCGGGTACCCGGCCAGGTTTGAAAGAGAATTTTGAATTCGAGTGCGGGAATCGCNTGTGCCCTGACCCGGGATCGAACCCCCAGCCCTGGCGTATCGGGACGATGCTCTAAGCAACTGGGCTACCCGGCCAGGTTCGAAAGAGAATTTTTGATTCGAGTGCGGGAATCATGGATGTGGAGGGCTGGCTGTATGGGCCGTTTTAGGCCATTTTATATAAAGGACTTGAGCATGTGTGGATATTGGTATTGGGGGGCCTGAACCAAACCCCTGTGGATACTGAGGACGACTGAAGTTCTGGGGGAGTAGAAAGTTATCCATGGACTTTTGACCTCCGGGGGTCGGAGCCCCAACCCCTGTGTTGTACGAGATACATGACTCAGCTCAACTTAGAGCCCAAACTCGAGAAACCCCTGACCTTGTTTGCTGACGCTGCTCAGCTGGAATAAATCGAAGCCACACAACAGCTCGGCGCCTTCGCGTTCTCCCCGGCAAACAGTCGTCGCTGACGGGGCAAACCTCTGCGCTCAGTCGGAGTGTTTCCCAAAAGGCACCTCACAGCGGTTTCAGAACCAAGCTGGCCAGAAAAACCTTTAAGTAATTTCATTTCTAAATTTTCCTAGATGGTATTTCTAAAGGAAATTTTTTTTTTTCTTTTTATGAATCTGGATTGAAGGAACGCCCGTATTTCATTTATTGTCTGGATTACAGGTTCTTAATAAACAAACCAGAGCTCATTATAAAATCAATATCAACTTAACCACCATGCCCCCAGGGGAATCTCGTAAAGGTCACTCCGAGAAATTCAAACAGTTTTCCTGCTGGAAGGGCATGATTTTAATTACAGATACTATTAATTAGCGCTGTCACCGGGATGATTTTTCCCCCCCGTTAATTATCAGAAACTCAGTTCTAAGTACGCATTTTCAACCTGCATTTTGGTCAAAATTAGCTACTTCTGCATGCAAGTCCGAGCTTTCCACTCTATCAATATTTTATATTTGAATTTCAAAGTGTATCAAAGGATGCCACGCTCTCTAAAATCGGCCGTCTCCCTGCCACAGGAGAGAGCGGGTGTGATAATTTATTTATGTCCTGCTCAGACGTGGCCCAGAGGGCCGGCGCCCTCCACGGATGGCCTCACTCAGTAGAATTTCTGGGTAAATTCTTAGTAGTTTAAGTGACATTTTTTTTCCAGGCTCGTTCGAACGTGATTTTTTCTTTTGCTTTCAAGCAAAGCTATGCGCAGTGACTGAAATGCCATCTCCCACACATTTGAAGTTGCCATTTCTTTGTAAGAAAGAGACCATGGTGACCAGGCCCCTGACTCCCTCCGGAAAAAGAGAGGTTTTTGCCCGTTCAAAGACAGTACCAAGAATCTTGAAATGAGGAAAGAAAGCTAAGTCCTGGTCTCTTTTGAGCATAGAGGTTTTATGAGCTCATCCTGCTCCCTGTGGGGATGGGGCCGGGGCGGCTCGGAGGAGTCACGGAGGCGCCTTGAAGGACAGTTGTTGGGAGCACTTTCTAGAAAAAACTTGAAAGGCCCCCACCGCATGGAACTCTGATGATAGAATAATAATAACTAACTTGTGTAGGGTTGTAAAATATGATGCATTATTTACAAGACCTATTACACATCATAATCACGTGATTAGAGAAAACACAGGCTAGTCCAGGGGGAGAAAACCTTTGACAAGTGTATCCTGATTAGACTTTTAAAACAATGATTAAGTAAATTATTTTACTTTCCCAAGTGAGGAATATACTGGAGTGAAATGATATTTTATGTGGAAAGAAATCAGATGCCCTAACTTGTCTACATTCTGGGCTGGCGCCGCTGCTCATGCTAAAGGCTTAGTTCCTCACAGGACGTGATTAGGTGTGGGCGTGGCCGTGATTAAACGTGGACATGATTGAACGTGGCTGTGACTAAATGTGGCAGTGACTAAACGTGGGCGTGGATGTGGTACAGCTTCCAGAATGGCCGTGAATTTGTTTATGTCCAGTCGGTGTGACCCCGCCTTCCTCACATCCTCGCTGGCGCCCGTCATGTTTCCGCATCCGCAGCACACAGCTGCACGCCTGTTCCCATGGAGACGGCTTTGGTTTGCTTTCCATTTCCAGCATTAGATTCCACTTTATCCAAATAAGAGCAGAGGGTGCCAATGGACCAGGTCAAGGATCTTCTCATACGAGACACCCAGGACGTCGGTGATTTAAAGGACAACCTCAGGCGTCCACACAACTGATTCATCTCCCAGCTCTGGCGTTTTCATGGGTGGTTGCCAAGTGAAGCAACAGAGAACCTGCGATCCACGTACTGTGCTTCTTCCACGTTCCTAATGAGCAAACCTCGCTCACGGCTAACGGGAGACTGTCCAAGAGCAGCCGCGGACTGACACAGAGCAGGGCAACTGAGGTTGGGGGTGTTCACAAGAGTGCTAAGGAGAACTCCTAAACTGTCCTCAGAGGGGAGCGGGGACCAGGAAGAACGGACACTGCTGGGGCCGGGGAGGGGCCGACACCAGGTCCCTAACTTGTCTGTTCAGCTAAGAACCCGGAGGCACAGGTAACAGAAAAGTCTTTTTACCTGGTAGGCAGCGGTGGCATCTGGGCCGGGGTCCCCCCCGAGGCCGGAGAGCTTCTCCTTGAGCCGGTGGTGAGAGTTGTGCCGCAGGCAGTAGATGACGCCGGAAGCCAGGAGGACACCCAGGATGACAGCCACTGACAGCAGGGTGAGCACCGCGAACTTGGTGGAGTCCTCTTGCTCTGCCGGGTGGGGCAGGAGCCTGAGTTTGCTTTTCTGTGGAGCAGGAGAGAGGAGCCGGTTAGAACCCAAGGAACCAGGAGCCTCTACACAGCACCCTTTTCAAACAAAGCTTAAAATGTAAACAGGAGACAACACCGTGTTGGCATTAAAACACCAGGAGGGCCCTGGCCGGTGTGGCTCAGTGGTTAGGGCACTGGCCCAGCACCTGACGGGAGGGTGGCGGGTTTGATTCCCTCTCTGTCTCTCCCTCCCTCCCACTCTCTCTAAAAATCAGTGGAAAAAATATCCCTGGGTCAGGATTAACAACAACAGATGCCAGGAGGGCCGGGGAGCCGCACAGGACGCAGTGTTCCGGGGAGGAGAGGTACAGGCGTCCCTTTCCCCCTTAATTGTGGGCATTTTTCAAACTTAAGGAAACCCGACATTGGGCGCCTTCAGTAAAAGCAGGCGTCGGTCCCTCTTCAACAGGGGGAGGGCGACGCGGCTGCCCCCGGGCGCGCGGCACTTTCCGGGGTGCGGGCTCCTCCGCAGCGCAGCAGGGAGCGGGCTGGTCGCGAGTTTCACGGGGATTTTCCGGGGTCGCCGCCTGGGGGCCGCCCTCCCGGGACTGGCCGGCCGGACTGGGCACCGAGCACCTCGGCACTTTCCCTGGAAGGGACCGCAGGACCTTGGGGACCCAGTGGCCCAGGAGCTCACTCCTGGGGGCGGGAAAAGTAAGGAGCCAAGGCCCTCAAGCTCTCCCTGTTTTCTGGGGGTGGGTGGGGGGTCCTTTCGGCGCA